GGGGGGGGGGGGCGTTGTGGGTGTCCGGTTGTCAGGGTGTTCCGACCTGGCCCGGGGGTACCCGGCTAACATTCATCAAAGTCTCTCGTCCGGCCGCGCTGGTCCGCGCCACTCCTACACATCCATCATGCACACTAACGTCTGGTAGCCCACCCGGGAGGCTGCGCGGGGGCGGCCCGCCGCCGGCCCGCCGGCCTTCAACACACATGGAAATGTGTTTGTCGCTGAGCCGCGGGGCTGTAGGATTCGAGGAGTGAGGGGGTGGGGGGCTATCTTAGCGATTGCGTGCGTCTCATAATACCTCGTTACACAAGGTGAACACATCAGGTCCCATCGGACATAATTATTTCCATATCCCAGTCGTCGTCGTCGTCCCGTCCGCTGCAGCCCGGGGTATGTGTTGGGGGGGAGGGGGCGGCTATGTCGTACTGCAGCTCCGCGGCGGGTACCTCACCGTCACATTCCGGCGCAAAATAATTATTAATGACCGCCTTATTGAAGGCGACACGTGTAGCGGGCGAGCATTAAAAGCGTTATGGACGTATCGGATGCGTGCTCGTTGGGGGAGATGACAGATGGACCGGCGGCTGCTGGGTGTGGCCCGCCGCAGCCTGACCGACCTTACGTGTGCACCCTCAAAAACTTTCTCACGTCGAATCTGCTGCGCTATACGTAGCCCTGAGTACTCTGCAAATCAAATATTCATCCTTCTATGAAAGACGCACTTTAAAAAACATATTTAAAAATGGCACGTACAACAACTTGTGACACTAATAATTAATGTCTCAGGCATTGATCAGTTTGGTTCACTTCCTAATGCATGTTTAGGTCTTTTAGACGACCCTTATGGGGCAATATTCAAGCCCATTGCAGTTTATCTATTTTTAAAACTTGACAGATCAGAATAGAGTCTCTGAACAAAGTTTAAATTCGGAAGTGTAGTATGTTTGTACAACGGGGAATGCAAGAAGCTTATTGTGTATGCTTTGTCGATCGGACCACATATCGAGTGGAGCCGAGAGTCGTGCGAGTCCAGCGGGGTCCCGAGCACGGTCAGCAGCGGCCAGCCGTGAGACTGGTTTCCTGTCACTGCCGCTGTCCCGAAATGAGACCCCGCGCGCGGGGTGGGGCGGGGCGGCCAGTCGCTCGAGGGGAGAGGGGCAGGTCCAGTCGCGAGCCCCCGTGGTGCCGCGGCAGGGGCCTTCCAATCTACTAGTGTCCGTTCATTCAGCCACGATGGCAACCTCGGGCCGCGCCCCACAGCACCCCCCCCCCTCTCTCTCTCTTCCCCATACACTCACTGACAGACGGAACAGGTGCGCCCGAGCGGTGGGAGATGTGTTGACGCTCCAGTCAGATGAGCACAGCGCACCAACAAAAGAAAGCATTTCCGCTTAAGGCGATCTACCAATACAATCAGACTCATATTATCGAGCGGTCGACGACTTGTGCGCTCTTGTGGTCGCCGGCCTGACAGTACTCCGGGCGTATACTCCGACTGTACTTTTTGTGCAAGCCCTCCTATGAACCTCGAAAATTCGAGTCATCCACCCTTTTGCATAATACTTACGAATGATCAGCATGTGAAACACTCTTACCCCAATGCTTGCGTGAGTGAAGGGCGGGGGCGCCCCGTTCCGCCCTCGTTCTCGCCGTATCAGGTGTGCCGGGTGGGTCTCGCGGTAGCGGAGGGAGCGGCGAGTGCGGTGGGTTATTTCCAGCAACTTTCCGCGAATGTTTGTGTCTGTCTGCCCCTAGGCGTAACCACACGTCAGTGGTTAGCAAGAAGAGTATAGACCTTCTCCCTTCGCCTGTACGCTCTCAACTCCCCCCCCCCCTTACGTCAAGTATTTCGCTAAATCCTACGATTTTAAGCATTGTTGGCGGGATAAATAGACGTACAGTATTTGTAGAAAAAAACAGATTAAAATAATGACCATCAGCAACCGAAATATTTCGTGCTCGTGACTTTCTTTTTCTCTCAATCTGTTGTGTAGAAACAAAATGATCGACGTAATCAGTGTCTAAAACTCTGGTTAAATCCACGGAATTATTTCCACCGCGTGGGGCGGCGGTGTGATTTATCTGAGGGCCGAGGGTGTAAATAGCAGATATGGGTCGCGTGCGGAGCAGTGCGGAGTGGCTGCAGAGATTTATACTGCCGTCGCAAAGAGAGGGGCAAAGGGGAGGGAGGGGGGTTCAAAGTCCCGACGGAAAGAAAGTGCGGGAGACTACTATTTGCTTGCCGCTTCCCACCGAAAAATGCTATTCTATGCACCATAAAATTACGATGGAAGTTTTTTTTTGGTAATATATGGTCGTTGTCAGATGTGATACAAAGATTAGCTTTCGCGGCCCGTGACATTAGGTATATTTTGCCGTTGCTTTTTTACTGGTGGGTGGGTGGGTGTAACCCAGCCCCGTCCCGGCCCACCCTACTGCACCATCGTCGTCGTCGTACTCCAAGAGGCTTCATATTTAATTAGGCGACGTTTATCGTATTTATTTTTCACGCCGCCAGTAATGAACCCATTCCGAATCATTAGCGTCAACCCTCGTGTGTGTGTATGTGTGTGTGCGTGAGTGTGTGCGCGCGTGTTCGCGCGCGCAGCCGGAGCGCGGGGAGTCGAACCCGGGGCGGGGTGGGGCTGGTCCGGTCGTGCCCACCCGAAACACTTTATTTTCTGTCTTGCGCGGCTCGCCGCCCCCGACCCGACGTGACGGACAGACACGGCAAGGAAATTAATACTATAACGCTGCTGCTCCGGTGTTGTGTTTGATATTTCATACAATACCAGACGGCTGCCCTTAAAAAGCTACTTAATAAAGCGGTCAGCCCAAATGAGATGTGCTGCGGACGAAAAGAGGACTGTTTTTGTTTTTTTATTTGGCTGGTCCGGCCGCGCGGACAGTGAGCAGCCACATGCAAATCTACTGCTTGCATTTTTTGTGTGTTCGTGAAATGTGCGGGAATGCACGAGATGCACCCGCCAAGCCTTGGCATTAGAGCCCCGATAAGGAACGGGGTGAGAGATGCTGATCACTGTCCGCTCAGCAGCTCCGCTCAGCAGCTCCGCTCAGCACCACCCAGGCAGCAAAGGCCACCGCAGCCGCAGCAGCCGACAGCAGCTGTCTCAGGTGGCCGTCAGGGTGCGCGGAGCGGGCTGATGGGAGGCTGAGACTGACTTGGCTGTCCGAGAGATATTGGGCAGGGTCTGAGCCTTTGACAATGCTTCAGAGTCAGTGCTTTCACAGAAACAAGTTGCTTAATTTACCTCTGCTATGAAAGAGTACACCCATCGCCTGTAGAATTTCGGCAAAACCCCTAAACGTAGGGCCCCGTGCGTTAACATTGTGCACGGGGTAGCTGAGCGAAGTGCATTAATTTTACAGAAGACATAAAAAATATAGAACAAAACTATACCGAATGAGG